CTATATTCATTAAGAGTTGAAGGACTTCGACGTGGTGTAATGATTAACTAGCTTGTCTCGCTAGATCAGTTACGACTGGATAGTGAGTTTGATCCTCACTGGCTAACCCCCACACTTTCAGCCTTGTGGCGTATCTAAGCTACACTTAGACAATCATTAGGCACATCGACGGGGCGTAATGATTAACAAGCTTGTTTCGCTAGATCAGTTAGGACTAAATAGAGAGATCGATCCTCACTAGGCGCTCCACACTTTCAGCTTTGTGTCACATCGAAGCTATGCTTAAAAAAACATTATGCTACTTCGACGAGGTTAGCAAACCTGTCTCACCTGATCAATTGCGACTGAGTAGTGAGTTCGATCTTCACTCTATGCTCCATACTTTCGGACTACTGCCACAACCAAGCTACCCTCAGAAAATCACTATATTCATTACAAGGCGTTTATTATTATTATTATGAGCTCATGTCTGTGTATTTAGTATGTTCGATATTCGACCATAAGGCTCGGGGTCTATTTGTCACTTCTTGATGCTATAGGACCGGACAGACGACTCCAACCTGTGGAACCTTTAGAAAGTGGCTGAAAACAATACCATGGTTGGAAACAAGTCTTATGAATGAAATTAGGTAGATGGAACTATTCAATAATGATCACTAGTTTTGCTAGCACAAAATGGCAAGTCATCGTGATCAAGAGTTTAAGCGTATTGGCGTTGTTCAGACTGCTGATCACGGCAGCTTATGTGTTCTCCACCAGAAACTGTAACTAAGGTCCGCTCAGCATAGTTACAGTATAAATCAAAGATGGGTCCTGTGGGCTTTGTTCAAACACAAATGTGCCTGAGCAGGTGTCTACAACGGGGATTGTCGAAACACCTTAGCACACAACTGAGCACGAAAACAAATAGGTCGCCATTATAGAGGTTTATTAAAACCTGACTGTTTTTTTTTTTTTTTTTTTTTAAAGCTATCTTTAACCCAAACTTTCTAGCCGGTTAATTTGAAATGCAGTGTGTGTAACCCCAGCTATGGGTTAAATCACAGAGTAGAATGATCGTCTATCTTTGGTTAGTAACTAATTTATAAGGAGTAAAGCCGTGGAGGAGGCGGCCCTGGGGGAAATAGTAGAGTAGACTGAATATGTAAAGAAAGAAATATTGTTTTCAGGTGAGCTTCTATTTATGGAATAAAGTGCTAAATATCAGAGATAAAGCGTATGTAAATATAAATGTAAAAATATAAAATTGAACATTGAAGTCAACACTCAGAGGCGACAGGCTGTTTCATGCTAGGCGCAATCGTCAGGCAACCTGCGCCAGTCCTCTTCAGCCCTGGACTGAATTCGTCTCGGAATCAGGAATTTAATTGTGATAGCAGTGGTTGCAAAGATACACACCTACCCAAAACGGAGCCTCATCTAGATAACATATATATATATATATATATATATATATATATATATATATATATATATATATATATATTGTCTTTGAAATTAAAACAAACACCACGAAGTTTTCTTCTAACCCAATCAGACATATTGAATAGGAGGAGATGGGCGCTGTTTGCCAGCCTACCTTGAAAATCAGTGTTCAAAATCCTTTCCGATCTGGCATAGGTATTATATACATAACTATCTCAAGCACAAGGTAGGAAAATAGCATTGTAATTTTTCGTTATTGATTTTTTTGTTTATTAAGACTTATCAACCCGTTGTGGGTTATGTAAAAAAAACAAAACAAACAAAAAAAAAAAAACGAAACATATTAATAATTAATTCTTTTTTTCGCGTGAATAATGCATTTTTAACTGTTTTTAACAACGATTTTTTCAGATCAAAGTCCTACTATTTAATTCAAAACTGAGGGAAGAGATGTATTCATGCCTTTCACAAAGGAACTTCCACGTAAGTGAATGCAATGAATTTGATTGGAATTCGAACTCGGCTCTCATTCGGAGCCGCTATCCATTACACTACTACGCGCTTATCTTCGCATTATGAAATAACTTCGAATAAAAACAGCTAGACGAATTGCTTCGAAATCTTTACATAGCAATCGCTGTTATTTTAGAGTTATCTCCCCTGAACCAGTTTGTTGCCCACAGTAACATTTGGACGGCTATGTGTAGATTATGGTAACTGCTAACTAACTAAGTCCATCCAACCAAAAAATCATGTGTACCTTTAACACACAAAAATAAAGGTACTCCCATTTTTTTTTAAAATTACCATAAAATCAAGGAATTATCGGATTTCATTGAAATTTTCAGGATTTATTTATTACTGATTGTTTTTTTATTAGAAAGTTTTGCGAAAGTATTATTATTTCAGGTCAATTACAATACAATCAATCCTTTAATAATCTCGACGCTAAATCCGTAGTACTTATTGAATTTGGGATCTATCTAATTTTTACATTTTTATAACACTAATTCCTCAAAGGTGTTATATCATAAAAAAATAATTAACAATTTAATATCCGCTGTTGATACATCGAAAATATGGTTTAAAATTTTCAGAAAAGAATTTAAGAAAAGTTAAAAATTATTCTTGTGGAGAGTTGCTGATACCTAATTTTTACTGTGTATTTTTTGTTTACACAGGAAACACAATTCTGACATATGTTCCTTTCTGAAAAATTGGCTTGTATTTTTATTTTTTAGAGTATAATTTTAAAAGTCAATTAGATTTTGGTCGTTGCTGATAAACTTGATATGGAATAATTATCTGTACTGAGTGCAGAATAATAATAAATTCCTTTACCCACTCTCTTCAAATTCAAATGAGCTGAGAAAAAACAAACAAAAAAACAAAAAATAAAAAAATAAAAACAAAAAAGAAAACGGAAAGGAATTCGCGAGCCTATGTGAAATTTTATTTGGACCAATGAAAACCTCATTTTCAGGGAGAATGGCCGGCAAGCTGAGAAGAAGACAGAAATAAATTTGCGAGCCTATGTAAAATTGCTTTCGGAACAATGAAAACCTTGTCTTCATACAAATGAGCCATTGAGCCAAAAAGAAGAGAGAAGTAGTTAGGATATTTGATATAAAATGAAGAGAAAGATTAAATTAATAGGAGAAAGTGTCTAACGTCATGTGAAATGTTTCGTTTCTGTTCACCGCGACCAGCGTTGAAATTTTCGCCAGTGTAAAATTACTCGCCAACTATATTGACTTTTAACCAAACACTTCAAATTATCTCTCTTCGTCTACTTTTGAACCATATATCCCTTCGGTGAGCAACGAACTCACTTACCTTTGTTTTAAACATTTTTAATATTATTTTGTGTCAGATCATTTAATCTGTTGTATGAACATTTCCTCTTTATAATTAGTTAAAAGTACGGACTTTAAAATTTTCTGGAAAACAAGCTTTAAATTCAAGCGTATAAATTTATGAATGAATTCCTTATTCCTTTTTGTGTTAAAATTACCCGTGTATTTCGTCGTCATTATCATCCCACATTAATCTTCTTGGTAAATCAACTGTTTATTTTAACCCCTAAGCCCAACACCAATATAAATCATTCCGACCTGAAGACGCCGAAACCAACAGAAATTGGCAAAACGCATCGTTTACAGCTTTTCCACTTGTCTCATCATCTGCACTTTTATTTCGGATACTAAGATGCATCCGTAGAATTGAAAAATGTAAAGTTTAGATGCCATTTTCGAGAGTGAACATTTCCAAAAAAAATTTTTTTTTTCATTTTGAGACTGTTTGATTATTTTATTCTATGGAAGACCACAAATTTAAATCAAAATTAAAATTCTAAATTATGTCCCGTAACATAACATAATTGACTGGAAAGCAAGAAGCCGGAAGGGAGATCCACAAGCGAGAAGTGCGATAGAAGAAACTGTTACATCTAGCGGTCATTTCAGCTGTAAAATGATGAGACCTAGTCATCAATCTAGTACTGTACTTAAATTCATAAAGTCGAGTTACCATAGCGGAAAGTTCAGAACAATTACCTTGAAAGTACTTATAGAAAACCACAGGGAAACTACGGCAGGCCGGTGAGAAAGTGACTGAATTAGAGATGCCAGATTAGGACCAATAACATTGCAGATTCTTCTTTGGATTTTATCAAGATTTTCTAAATATATAGCAGGAGCACCAGACCAGATGTGACAACAACCTTATTCAAAGTTTTATAAAGTTTAAATATTCTTAAGTTTCGATTCATTCTCAAAGAAAACAAGTTCTTTTTATTGTAGTAGGTTTGGTCTTACGTATTTAATTTGATTTCTGGGGCAAACTGTTGAAAGCAGGCAGCAGCATTATAAGTAAAAGATGATTTGAATGTTGAACAAAGAGAAACTCTACTGGGGCAAAATCTATTTTCGTTATATTTTATGCAAAAAAGTCAATAATATGTTTACAAAATCTTAATCATTCACCCAGGGTTTCCCAAACTTTGTTTTTTACTCTGAGCCGTATTTTCGGAATTAAAATTTGCTGGCGCCTCACCAAATTTTATGAGAAAAAAAGTAAATATATATAAATAAAAAGACTAATTGTGCGATAAATATAATATTGTAGTGAAAGAAATAATCAGCTACCTCGAAAAAGAGTTCGTGTTTTGTGTGCGATCTGCCGAAGAAAAATTACCAAAAAGTAGTTAGCAAAAATCTACTTTAAGGACCAGAATCGATGCTAATGTCCTCCCCTGGATGGCGTGACCAATCAGAAAGATCTCTCGGTGAACAAGAGCCGTTGTTTTTCGCTAATGTGGGGATTAGATTTTCTGAGCTTGGTGGACGAACACGCGTTTTTACTGGTGAGAAGTGAAGGTTGGATTTGTGACCCCATTTTGTCGTTTCTACGTTGCCTGTTGGACTGTTACAACGGACTATCGTTTGAACTGTGATTTGGCTACAAGTGTTGAGGTCGAGAGACAAGAAATCTGTTGCAGACGTTTGTTGCTACTATAAGTTGACAGTTTTTTTGCTTCTTTTTCTTTTCTTTACAACTACAAATATATAACATACACAAATTTAATGAAAGATATGAACTTGTTTTTGATGAACAATCTCTTATATTCGGCCTAATCTGAGGGAAAGAGAAGTCCCGGTGAAAAGGCACAAGCATCTCTTTGGCAAAAAAGGTCTAGAGAGATGTTTAAAGGGAGATAACCACGGATTCGAAGTCAGAGCATTATCATTGATAACTCTGTCTTCCAATATGAAGACCCTAGTTACTATATTCTTAATGCTTAATATAATGCAAAAATATCAGAATGATAAAATCAGTTTATAATTATTTATAACTATTTATACTGGGATTCATGTATGCAATTACAAATAATCCATAATAATATTTTAAATTTTGAGATTATATTTATTTTGGGCTTAAGAATTTTTTGAAATAGTTTCTTTGATTGTCTTTCAATCATTCCGCCTCACCGGCTATCCGCTTCCGCTGCACCTATGAGGCGTGTCGTACCATTTGGGAACAACAGCATTAATCCATTAATTTGGCGTAAATTGCTATGTATAAAATCGGGTTTTCAAGCCAAAAAATTTTATCCAAAAATAGGGGTCGATTTATATGGCGGGTATAAAATGCAAACCTTTAGCACCGAGATGTAAACAAGCACTTATAACAAATACTGGACACCACTTACCCTAACTCCAGTTGATTTCCACAAATATATCCCACTAGAACTTGTTTGGTGAACATATTTGGAATATTAACACAGACATTAATACGAAATAATAAAATAGTAACATAAATACAGTATTCTATTAATATTACATCACACATCGCGTCCAACCACTGATACACTGTACAAGTGTAAACACTGACTGAAGCGCCGTTTAATTCAGGCGGCCAGGCAGACAATTAGGCCTGATATGCGCGTCATCTGAGCAATTTCATGATAGGAATGACAGGTTGATGACACATAATGGCAGTTTATTGAATATGCAATATATTTACTATATCGCTAGGCCTAAGTTTTGGGCCTCTGGTAGCCTATTGTATGTTTGGAGTCGGCCTATAAGGCCTAATTCAGAATTTTGAGCTAAAAATCTTGAGGTCGACTTGTATGCCAGGTCCCCTTGTACGTCGTAATTTACGGTACTACTTTTCTTTGAAATAAATATTTGGGAGAGATTATGTATTATTATCGAATATATAGAATTGAGGGTCGACCTATACGTTAGGTATAGGCCTAATTCTGAATTTTGAACTAAAAATCTTGATGTCGATTCGTACGCCAGGTCGACTTGTACACCAGATCAACTTTTACGTCGTAATTTACAGTATTTTTCGTTTTTACATATTCCACTTTTTTCTTTCAAAGGTTTTTTTTTATTATTTTTCTTATTTGTCGCTTAAACTTTCGTTTTCATTGTTTCATTCCTTTTTTTTTTCCTCCTTCTTTCTTCCTTCTTTATTTAACTTTTCGCTAACGTCAATTAACTTGTTTTGAAGTTCCATGGACTGAATTGAGGAATTCTAAGTTATTTCTTCAAAATGATCATTTCTGTTTTCAAAGCTAGACCACTTTGGTTTTAGGTTCAAGTCCCAATTAGCCCTACGCAGGAGCCAGCTTAAAATTCCGCTCAAAGTTCGACTTTTAAGCTAGTTATTTAATTAAAAAAATCTTGTGACAAACATCAACGGAAAAAAAAATTAAAAGTAGCACTGAAAATTATCATAAATGGTCAATTTAATACAAAATAATAAAAGGGTAAAGCAAATTCAGTATTCTATTAAGCCTACAACACATATCGCATCCAACTGCTGATACACTAAGTGTAAACACTGACCGAAGCGCCGTTTAACTCAAGCGGCCAGGTAGATAACTAGGCCTGATATTTGTGTCATCTGAGCAATTTCATGATAGGAATGACAGTTTAATGACTTAGATGAAGGTAGTTGTTTGTAGTAAGTTTTTAAATCATGTTTCATGACCTAAAGATCTGCTGAGAACATTTCAGTTTATTTAAGATTTTTTGATGTTTAGCAGTTCTTATTTTATGGTTACGGCAATTAGTATTTGTACTCGTTTTTTTTTTATATTTTATACGATTTGTATTATTCATATTGATTTACGTTTGACAATGTTCTACCAGGAAACAAGAAAAAATTCTTCTAAGCATAGAAAAACTTTCCTCCTATCTAGGAATGGTCATGTTCTGAAAAGTAGCATTAAAATTATTAGTAAATCCTCTTAATTTACACAGGTTAGTCTCAAAATAAATAAAAATATCTACTATTACTGATACAGGGACTGAAACACACACCCCTCAAGTTAGTAGATGCACTTAGCCAATGCTTTTATTCTTTGGATGGTATGATTGGAAATGTCCAGAATTCCTAGACATATCTACTACTACTACTACTACTATACAGGGATTGGACACACAAACCCCAAGTAAGTTGTTACACTTAGCCAATGCATTTCTAGAATTCCCAGACACAGGAAAATGACCATAGAATGTGAACGGTCGAAACGTCGCGTGAGATTCGATTGTCCGAAAAACAAAATTTACAAAAGAGATTTGATTGTCCGAAAAACAAAATTTACAAGAGATTCGATTGTCCGAAAAACAAAAGTCCCAAAAGAGATTCGATTATCCGAAAAACAAAATTTGCAAAAGAGATTCGATTGTCCGAAAAACAAAATTTACAATGTCTCTTTACCGGCAATAAAGATTTTTTTTATTGCTTACCTTTTCATCGCTTGCATGGTCATTTTCAGGTTTTTCCACCTGTATAGATGGAATCTTCGTGGTTAACTGAGACGAAGAGTCAGTCTGCTTCTCATCGATGTTTGGATATACCTTAAAAAAAACCCCAGTAAAACAAAGAATCTATGAAAAAATGAAAAACAAAATGTATCTACCATTGTTCGTTTTAGGCACTAACTTATTGGTTTAATTTCTTCATTTCTTCTGTTTTAATCAAGCAGGGTCAGCGAACGAGGGGGACGAGGAAGGGAGCCTGTCTCCTACACATTTTTACCAATTGTATGTTTTACAGGGTTTTATTTTAACAAAATACAATAAAGAAAAAATACAAGAAAAACAAACAATGAAAGCAAGGACAGAAAATTGTTGATAAGGCTAAATTCTAGATTGATGTTACAAATATTTCGCGTTTTTTAAATCTTGAAAACTTAGGTAATTTATCGACCTTTGAACTTATTTGCTTTTCTTGACGATAAACTACATCCAGCAGCAAGGCCTCTGATCGGGAAATGAGGAGCGTGGAACCAACTCTTAATTGCTATTGTTCCACTCTGACCCGGCGTGGTAGCAATTGTTAGGGTCCAAGCTATGGGCAAATAGTTAACCCCAAAGAAAAATCAACAGTACATTTTATTAAAAAAAATGACAAACAATTCATTTTTATAGCAAAATGACCAACAATGCAACGCTAGAAGGGTAAAATACATTTTATACTTAAATTATCAGCAATACATTTTTTTTATAAAAACATTTATTAATAATACATTTTTTATAAAAAAAATTACTAGCAATACGTTTTATGATCTACAAACTATATAATTAAAAAAATATGCCTTTACTTTCAAAGCATAAAATTATGTATAAAATGTCTGTAGTTGAAAACGTAAAATTACCTACAAAATATTTAGATTTCGGTATTAAATAACCCATGGAAGTTGATATGCCGACAAGCAAAATCAACAAGATAATTTTTTGTTTTCTCTATCTCATCGGAGGTAATGGTTTACGGTCATATCACGTTGAAACGAAATCAGATAAAAAAGTCACAGAAAACAAAGGAAACCGGACAATGTTAGCATTGTTTCTGTGTCTTTTTTTATTAAAAGGTTAACTATGGAATTCTCATTTTTTTTAAGGTTAAATATGTCAATCAGGAATATGCAGAACTGATGGTAAATTAATGAGTTTTTTTAATGGAATATTCGTTTTAATCATCGGCATTAAAATCACTGAATATATATGTAAATATTTAACATATATAAAGATAAAAATTAACTTTTTGTTCATGTGGCTTTTTTCCGAGCCAAAATTGTTTTTTTTTTGTGACTTTTTTCCTGTGGCTTTATTACCGGCCACGAAATTGTTCAAGTTTGCAAATTTAGTTGAAATTCTTTCTTTAAAGATTTTTTAGTTACTTGGAACCATTCTCCTTGCTTCCGGGCAGGAAAAAAAAATACTTTGTTAAAAAAAGATTCTGGGATTTTGCACGAAAAGAATTCCGATTATTCGATGGCCAGTCGAAAGATATTCAGGAAGAAATCTCGCAGTTTTTGGTACAGAATAAAACCCTCGAAAACGCATATTTAATTTTAAAAAACAAAAATGAAAATGCATGTTTATAAAAAAAAAACGAAAATCCCTATTATTAAAAGAAAAATCGAAAATGCATATTTGTTTAAAATAAAACCGAAAATTCATATTTATTTTTGAGAAAATCCGAAAATTCATATTTATTAAAAAAAATAACTGAAAATGCATATTTATTTTTGAGAAAATTCGAATATTTATATTTATTAAAAAATAACCGAAAATGCATATTTATTTTTGAGAAAATTCGAATATTTATATTTATTAAAAAATAACCGAAAATGCATATTTATTTAAAAAAAAAACAAACGAAAATGCATATTTATTTTTCAAAAAACCCGAAAATGCATATTTATTTTAAAAAAAAAAAGCATATTTATTTAATCGTCAGAAATTTAAACATTGTTAATAGTAGTTGGCCTAAGGAAGAATGGTATGCACCCAATCAACACCATTGGATGCTGTCAAACCGCAGGTGCTATATCAGAGTTTTACTTCTCCTAGGCTAAGAGCCCCACCCCCGGGCTAACCGAGCACCTGGACCCCAAGCCATATATTTCTACATACTCTCCGACTGTACTATGTAGTCGTTGATCTCAGGAAAGGATCCCCCCCTTTAACAGGTCTTGTGTTTAATCCTATGTATGTATCCTCTTCCTTGTAAAAAAAAAAAAACCCTGGTGGGAGAGCCAAGCGACCTGACCATGCAGCAGGTCATACTTTTTATATATTTTTATTTTTTAATAATAAGAATGTATTGATGTGCTTACCTTGACATACATATTGATAGCATCAGGTGCAGCCAGGGGACTGAGGAGTGCTGGATGCCGCAGAGGAAAATCTGATGAGGGAGTTGACTTCTGCAAAAGAAAAGTATTTCTTAAATAAAATCACATTCTGATCTCTCCTCTGACCGAGCTCTAACGTCTCAGGGGCGGGAAAAACTGGCTGGTCACATTCAATCCCTCGAAAACCAAACTAGTAACATTCCATCATTGCCGATCGAACCCCGAACTACCGCTAATTACGATGAACGGATGTAAACTCGGGGAGGCTCCGAGCCTTGAGAGACTATTGGGCCTGAAATTCACCCCTGACACCAAATGGAACTTTTACATACAATCCATCGCCAAAGATACAGGAAAAATGGTCGGCTCCTTGTACCGTTCCAGTAAGCACATGACCCCTCATTCTATCTTCTATCATCGCCAATCGAACCACCGAACTACCACCAGTCAGATAGGTTCCTTACCTTGAGAAACTATAAGGCTTTAGACTCATCCGTGACCTCAAATGGAACTCGTACATACGATCCATCGTTAAAGATGCTGGAAAATAGTTGGTTCACCGTATCGCTCCCTGTACATGATGGCCATTGATTGGCAGCTGATCTCTACTTTCTCTGATATATCTCTAACGTCTCAGTAGAGGGAAAACTGGATGGTTACATACAATGCCGCTGAAATCAAACTAGTTATATTCCATTATCGTCGATCGGACTCCGAACAGACACCAATCAGGCAGGCTTCGTGCCACGAGCACCTAGTGGGCTATAAATTCAATCAGTGTTATACCTAAGCTAAAATTCGTCCCCGAACAGACCCAGAACTTGAACCAATCTCGATGAACACCTATTGGGCTTTAAACTCAACCAGGGTTATATCTAAGCTAAAAAAAGTTTCAAAACTTGAGAATTCGTCCCAGAACAGACCCAGAACTTGAACCAGTCTCGATGAACACCTATTGGGCTTTAAACTCAACCAGGCTTATATCTAAGCTTAAATAAGTTTCAAAACTTGAGAATTCGTCCCCGAACAGACCCAGAACTTGAACCAGTCTCGATGAACACCTTTTGGGCTTTAAACTCAACCAGGGTTATATCTAAGCTAAAATAAGTTTCAAAACTTGAGAATTCGTCTCCGAACAGACCCAGAACATGAACCACTCTCGATGAACACCTTTTGGAATTTAAACTTAACCAGGGTTATATCTAAGCTAAAATAAACTTCAAAATTTGAGAATTCGTCACCGAACAGACCCATAACTTGAACCAGTCTCGATGAACAACGTTTGGGCTTTTAACTCAACCAGGGATATATCTAAGCTAAAATGTTTCAAAACTTGAGAATTCATCCCCGAACAGAGCCAGAAATTGAACCAGTCTCGATGAACATCTATTGGGCTTTAAACTCAACCAGTGTTATATCTAAGCTAAAATAAGTTTCAAAACATGAGAATTCGTCCCTGAACAGACCCAGAAATTGAACCAGTCTCGATGAACACCTTTTGGGCTTTAAACTCAACCAGTGTTATATCTAAGCTAAAATAAGTTTCAAAACTTGAGAATTCGTCCCCGAACAGACCCAGAACTTGAACCAGTCTCGATGAACACCTTTTGGGCTTTAAACTCAACCAGGGTTATATCTAAGCTAAAATAAGTTTCAAAACTTGAGAATACGTCCCCGAACAGACCCAGAACTTGAACTAGTCTCGATGAACAACTTTTGGGCTTTAAACTCAACCAGGGTTATATATAAGCTAAAAATAAGTTTCAAAACTTGAGAATTCGTCCCCGAACAGACCCAGAACTTGAACCAATCCCGATGGACACCTTTTGGGCTTTAAACTCAACCAGGGTTATATCTAAGCTAAAATAAGTTTCAAAACTTGAGAATTCGTCCCCGAACAGACCCAGAACTTGAACCAGTCTCGATGAACACCTTTTGGGCTTTAAACTCAACCAGGGTTATATCTAAGCTAAAATAAGTTTCAAAACTTGAGAATACGTCCCCGAACAGACCCTTAACATGAACCACTCTCGATGAGCACCTATTGGACTTTAAACTCAACCAGGGTTATATCTAAGCTAAAATAAGTTTCAAAACTTGAGAATTCGTCACCGAACAGACCCATAACTTGAACCAGTCTCGATGAACAACGTTTGGGCTTTTAACTCAACCAGGGATATATCTAAGGTAAAATAAGTTTCAGCACTTGAGAATTCGTCCCCGAACAGACCCAGAACTAGAACCAGTCTCGATGAACACCTTTTGGGCTTTAAACTCAACCAGGGTTATATCTAAGCTAAAATAAATTTCAAAACTTGAGAATTCGTCTCCGAACAGACCCAGAAATTGCACCAGTCTCGATGAACGCCTTTTGGGCTTTAAACTCAACCAGGGTTATATCTAAGCTAAAATAAGTTTCAAAACATGAGAATTCGTCCCTGAACAGACCCAGAACATGAACCAGTCTCGATGAACAACTTTTGGGCTTTAAACTCAACCAGGGTTATATCTAAGCTAAAATAAGTTTCAAAACTTGAGAATTCGTCCCCGAACAGACCCAGAACTTGAACCAGTCTCGATGAACAACTTTTGGGCTTTAAACTCAACCAGGGTTATATCTAAGCTAAAATAAGTTTCATGACGTGAGAATTCGTCCCCGAACAGACCCAGAACTTGAACAAGTCTCGATGAACAACTTTTGGGCTTTAAACTCAACCAGGGTTATATCTAAGCTAAAATAAGTTTCATGACTTGCGAATTCGTCCCTGAACAGACCCAGAACATTAACCAATCATGATGAACACCTTTTGGGCTTTAAACTCAACCTGGGTTATATCTAAGCTAAAATAATTTCAACGCTTGAGAATTCGTCCCCGAACAGACCCAGAACTTGAACAAGTCTCGATGAACAACTTTTGGGCTTTAAACTCAACCAGGGTTATATCTAAGCTAAAATAAGTTTCAAAACTTGAGAATACGTCCCCGAACAGACCCAGAACTTGAACTAGTCTCGATGAACAACTTTTGGGCTTTCAACTCAACCAGGGTTATATATAAGCTAAAAATAAGTTTCAAAACTTGAGAATTCGTCCCCGAACAGACCCAGAACTTGAACCAATCTCGATGGACACCTTTTGGGCTTTAAACTCAACCAGGGTTATATCTAAGCTAAAATAAGTTTCAAAACTTGAGAATTCGTCCCCGAACAGACCCAGAACTTGAACCAGACTCGATGAACACCTTTTGGGCTTTAAACTCAACCAGGGTTATATCTAAGCTGAAATAAGTTTCAAAACATGAGAATTCGTCCCTGAACAGACCCAGAACATGAACCAGTCTCGATGAACAACTTTTGGGCTTTAAACTCAACCAGGGATATATCTAAGCTAAAATAAGTTTCAAAACTTGAGAATTCGTCCCCGAACAGACCCAGAACTTGAACCAGTCTCGATGAACAACTTTTGGGCTTTAAACTCAACCAGGGTTATATCTAAGCTAAAAAATAAGTTTCATGACTTGAGAATTCCTCCCCGAACAGACCCAGAACTTTAACAAGTCTCGATGAACACCTTTTGGGCTTTAAACTCAACCAGGGTTATATCTAAGCTAAAATAAGTTTCAACACTTGAGAATTCGTCCCCGAACAGACCCAGAACTTGAACAAGTCTCGATGAACACATTTTGGGCTTTAAACTCAACCAGGGTTATATCTAAGCTAAAATAAGTTTCAAAACTTGAGAATTCGTCCCTGAACAGACCCAGAACATGAACCAATCATGATGAACACCTTTTGGGCTTTAAACTCAACCTGGGTTATATCTAAGCTAAAATAATTTCAACGCTTGAGAATTCGTCCCCGAACAGACCCAGAACTTGAACAAGTCTCGATGAACAACTTTTGGGCTTTTAAACTCAACCAGGGTTATATCTAAGCTAAAATGAAGTTTCAAAACTTGAGAATACGTCCCCAGGGAACAGACCCAGAACTTGAACTAGTCTCGATGAACACATTTTGGGCTTTAAACTCAACCAGGGTTATATCTAAGCTAAAAATAAGTTTCAAAACTTGAGAATTCGTCCCCGAACAGACCCAGAACTTTTGGGCTTTTCAACCAGGGATCCAGTCTCGATGAACAACTTTTTGGCTTTAAACTCAACCAGGGTTATATCTAAGCTAAAATAAGTTTCAAAACTTGAGAATTCGTCCCTGAACAGACCCAGAACTTGAACAAGTCTCGATGAACACCTATTGGCCTTTAAACTCAACCAGGGTTATATCTAAGCTAAAAAAAGTTTCAAAACTTGAGAATTCGTCCCCCGAACAGACCCAGAACATGAACAACTCTCGATGAATACCAGGGTTATTTGGGCTAAAAAAGTTTTTAAACGAACAACCAGGGTTATATCTAAGCTAAAATAAATTTCAAAACTTGAGAATTGTCCCCGAACAGACCCAGAACTTGAACCAGTCTTGATGACCACCTATTGGACTTTAAACTCAACCAGGGTTATATCTAAGCAAAAATAAGCTTCAAAACTTGAGAATTCGTCACCGAACAGACCCATAACTTGAACCAGTCTCGATGAACATCTATTGGGCTTTAAACTCAACCAGTGTTATATCTAAGCTAAAATAAGTTTCAAAACATGAGAATTCGTCCCTGAACAGACCCAGAACATGAACCAATCATGAACACCTTTTGGGCTTTAAACTCAACCTGGGTTATATCTAAGCTAAAATAATTTCAACGCTTGAGAATTCGTCCCCGAACAGACCCAGAACTTGAACAAGTCTCGATGAACAACTTTTGGGCTTTAAACTCAACCAGGGTTATATCTAAGCTAAAATAAGTTTCAAAACTTGAGAATACGTCCCCGAACAGACCCAGAACTTGAACTAGTCTCGATGAACAACTTTTGGGCTTTCACCTCAACCAGGGTTATATCTAAGCTAAAATAAGTTTCAAAACATGAGAATTCGTCCCTGAACAGACCCAGAACATGAACCAGTCTCGATGAACAACTTTTGGGCTTTAAACTCAACCAGGGATATATCTAAGCTAAAATAAGTTTCAAAACTTGAGAATTCGT